TGGTGTTGGTGGTGTGGTGGTTGGTGTTTTTGTTGTTGGTGGTGGTGGTGGTGGTGGTGGTTGGTGTTTTTGTTGTTGGTGGTGGTGGTGTTGTTGTTGTTGTTGGTGGTGGTGGTGGTTTGGTGGTGGTGGTGGTGGTTTTTTGGTGTTTTTGTTGTTGGTGGTGGTTGTGTGTTGGTGTTTGGTGTTTTTTGTTGTTGATGTTGTTGATGTTGGTTTGGTTGTTGAGAAGGGAAAGGGGGTTAAGGTTATATAGTTGTTGTTGTAGCTGTTGTTGTTATTGTTTTTGTTGTTGTTGTTTTTGCTTTGATGTTGTTGTTTTGGTTGTTATTGAGAAGGGAAACGGGGTTTAAGGTTTATAGTTGTTGTTGTTGTTGATCTTGTGAAGGAAGGGGGTTTAGGGGTTATAGTTATTATTGTAAATGTTGTTGTCATTCTTGTTGTTATTGTTGAGAGGGGGACGGGGACTTAGTTTATAACCACTGGTATCATTGTTGTTGTTATTGAGAAGTATAGACTTATTGTTATAATCATGGCTATTGTTATTACTACTGTTGTTGCAACACACACACACACATACACACACACACATACACAAACACAACTCTTCATCAAACAAACATGCATCCCAGACAACAATAATAAACCCGACACAAATATCAATACCTATTCGGAAAATACTACGTACGTCAAAAACAAGCAGTTATACCAGCAGCCCAATACCAGCAGTAATACCAGTAGTAATACCAGTATATTACCAGTAGTAATACCAGGTGTATTACCAGCAGCCCAATACCAGCAGTAATACCAGGTGTATTACCAGCAGTAATACCGGCAGCCTATTACCAGCAATAATACCAGTAGTAATACCAGGAGTAATACCAGCAGTAATACCAACAATAATACCAGCAGCCGATACGAAGTGCACAAGCCCCAACTCACGCGAGCTGTCCGCTGAATCCACTTTCGAAGTTGGGCGGATTCCTGGGCGTCTGTCCCTCCTCGTAGTGACTCACCATCAGCGGCCAGAAAGCAGCTGATTGGTGACTTCGGAGACACCATTCTGTTCTCAGGTCTGTTAGCGTAGGAGCGAAAGAGAGGAAGGTATAATTGGAAGTTTTTTTTTTTTTTTGTTTTTTTGTGTGTGTGGGTATTTCGTGTGCGGATTCGTGTTCTTGTTGTTTTTGTTGAGTGTGTGGGTTCGTGTGTTGTTTTTGTGTGTGGATTCGTGTGTTGTTGTTTTTGTGTGTGTGGATTCGTGTGTTGTTTTTGTGTGTGGATTCGTGTTGTTGTTGTTGAGTGTGTGGATTCGCGTTGATGTTGTTGAGTGTGAGGATTCTGTGTTGTGTTTGTGTGTGTGGATTCGTGAGTTGTTGTTTTTGTGTGTGTGTGGTGGGTTTGAGTGTATAGGAGTATGTGTGTCTGAGTAAATGATATATGAGCATAAAAATATTGGTTATTATGTTGAAAAACTTACTGTATTGTGCAACTATCTGGGAGCTAATGTTTAATGATATATCGTACTATTCATGTTCAATATCCTATCTAGAAATATATAATCAATACAGGTGGATTAAATAAAAAATCCATATGCAGCCATAAGTACACGAGCAAATTGTATATACAAAATACTAACCCCTCATATGTATATATATATATATAATATATATATATATATATAATATATATATATATATAGATATAGTATATATATATATATATATATATATATATATATATATATATATATATATATATATATATATATACTCATGTATGAAAATTGTCATTATTCATTATTTGGCTTCGTCAGCTTTATATAATCAGTTGTGATATTATATTACTACATTAGTATATATATATATTATATTATATATATATATATATATATATTATATATAAAATATATATATATATATATATATATTATATATATATATATATATATATATATATTATATATATATATATATATATATATATATATATATATATATATATATATATATATATATATATATATATATATTATATATATATATATATATAATATATATATATATATATATATATATATATATATGTATATATATATATATATACATGTATACATATGCATATATATGCATGTGTGTATACATATATACATATATATACATATATATATATATATATTATATATATATATATATATATATAATATATATATATATATGGTGTGTGTGTGTGTGTGTGTGTGTGTGTGTGTGTGTGTGTGTGTGTGTGTGTGTGTGTGTGTGTGTGTGTGTACACATGTATATATGTATATAAAACCAGATAGAAGAATCAAATATGTATATATATACATATATATATATATATATATATATATATATATATATATATATATATATATATATACATGTAATAATATATATATTTATTATATTCACTAACTTATGTATAATATATAATCACAACTGATTATATAAGCAAACGAAACAAATCATGAAACTCCGTCTTGAAAAATTTAAGAAAAAAAAAATTAAAAAAGGAAAAAATACTCAGGAAAACACATCCATTATGGCCTCACCGCTGGACCCATTAGTGCTGCCACAAACAGGTACCCCCACTAATGGCACTCCATAAAGCCCCATCTCCAGCATTTGCACCAGACTCTTGCGCTGTGCCACGAAGTCAGCTGGGTACTGCCCGCCGAAGTGCCCGCCTAGAGTGCCACTTCCGGGGTGAGTCGAGAGGCTGGTCACCAGGAAGCGCTTGTTGGGGTTCAGGTCCTGCGGGCGGAGAGGGGGAGGGTGAGAAGGGAGGGGGGAGTCATTAAGGTGTAGGTGAGAAAGGGGGGTTGGTAATTCAAGTGTAGAAGGTGAGAAAGGGTCTGTAGGGTGGGGAGGTCATAAGGTGTATGTGAGAAGGGGTGAGTAATAAAGGTGGAAGGTGAGATGGGGTGTAGTAATTAGGTGTAGGTGAGAAGCGGAGTAGGTAATTAAGGTGTAGAAGGGTGAGATGAGGATGAGGTGATTGAGGTGTAGAAGTGAGATGGGGTGTAGGTAATTAGGTGAGATGAGGATGAGTGTAGAAGGTGGGGTAAGGTTACGAAGGGGGGGTTGTTTTAAATTGATGGGGGTAATGTTTATTCCCCGAATTATTAAGCGTAAAGATGCCTATGAAACGAAGTAACCGGCGTGGTTTTGCATTATCTGACCCCGACTCGATCAGGAGCTGCTGACTTTCGTATCAATCAGCTGATTACAAGCCATTACTGCCGTGAAACTTCGACTATTTATTTCTCCGGTGAAAATATATTGACTAAATATCGTAATGGATACTGTCTTTTTTTCTTTTCTTTTCTTTTATGTTGACAGTCTTGATAAGATGTCACGTGACAGTAAAGAACCAGGTCATATTAGCGTTCTAAAATACTTCGGTCAAAACTAATCAAACTTTTCATGTACCTGAAAGCGTTTTCATGTGATATACGATATTGCTGAAATATATCTAGAAATATGTTAGTGTGTTTTGGAATATATGTAGAAATATGCTAGTGTGTTTTGGAATATATGTAGAAATATGTGTTGTTTGGAATATATGTAGAATATGTTAGTGTGTTTTGGAAATATATGTAGAATATGTTAGTGTGTGTTGGAATATATTTAGACTATTATAGTGTGTATTGGAATATCTCAGTGATTGTCAAAATATGGCAACGATAGTTAAAATATATAAGAAAATGATATTCAATGATGAAATTTAATAGACACACGACATAATTAACCTGAAAACGTCTTTAGCATTTGCTGCTCTAAACACAATTACGTGATTTTTTGTTCAGTCAAGAAATTGCCAGATTCACAAAGGACAAAGAAAATTCCTACAGAACAAACGAGTCCAAAGCTGAACCTATATTGAATTCGTAGTGTGTGTCATACGTTATATAAACACATTCAAATACGGAACTTGGATCGGCTTCCCACCACCCTCACTTGTTGCAGAAAAAAGAATCCGATAATATCGCTGAAACTGCCAAGCAACAGCCCGTCCAAGGATGCCATTTGCAACAAAGGATCCGAAAGGAATTGGATTATATGCTAATCTTTTAGGATATTGAGAATCAGTTTTTGCGGCGAGATTCGTGATTCGTGACATCGTGAGGTTATTAAAGGTGATTTGTGATGATGTATTAAAGGTGTTAATTGAAGGGTTATGATCTGAGAGGCTGCTTTGTACTTCTGAAGGCTGTAGGGATGTAGTGAGCATATTGTGCATACAAATACAAACACAGTTACGAATGCATTACGCGTCTCTCCCTCTCTCTCATTCTTGATTTACCTTTCTCTCTCTATCTAATTATATTACTTATCTATTTATCTGTATCGATTTCTATCTCCATCTATATCTATCTCTATCTCAGTCTCAATCTCAATCTTAATCTTTGTCTCTGCCTCAGTCTCTATCTCTATCTCCAACTCTCTCCCTTCCCTCTCCCTCCCTCTCCCCTCCTTTCCCTTTCCCTTTCCCTTTCCCTCTCCCTCTCCCTCTCCCTCTCCCTCTCCCTCTCCCTCTCCCTCTCCCTCTCCCTCTCCTCTCTCCCTCTCCTCTCCCTCTCCTCTCTCTCTCTCTCTCTCTCTCTCTCTCACCCTATCCCTCTCCCTTATTTTGTCTTTCATAGTTTTAATGGCCTTATACCATTACCTCACCATAGGGCTCCTATAAATACAGTACTCAGCTGTTTTTTGTCGGTGTCCACGTGACCTGCGCGCCGACCGAGATGGCAGTGATGTACTGCCTCCAGAGCAAGCAATTCTGACTCTTACCGTCACTCTCGTTGATTACTCCATAACCATATGTAAGCTTATACCTTGTATATATTCAAAATGCTCTAGGAACTAAACTATCTATGTCACTGCTTTCGTAATCATTATTATTGTCGATACTCTAGTTATCAGCTGTTCACCAATATTCTACCGACATGTCTACTTATCACAAAACTTTTGGTTGTACAAATATATCCAATATCCTCGTCCAACCGTGAACCTTTGGCCGCAGGAACTTTATGTCATACACCGAATTGCCTGCATGGACATTCTTACGAAAGATTGATGTTTTCCAGTTCGTTGTATTTAGTTACATTCCGTCCAGTATCGGACCAACTCGAGATTCCTAGCAATTTCGGAGTAGACGAGACAGACCGCCGCCTCTCTCCGCAGTAATTAAGTATAGAATCCGTGACAACTTGATCTCCAACACCACAAGGAATTAAACCAGTGCCTTCCAAGTTGGGACACGTCCTCCCCACAGTATTCCATTGGTGGCAAAGTGGAATAACGCACCACACGAAGCCCTCCGAAGATAATTCATCAACTTCTGCCATACCAAGACTTCATCTAACGAGTTCCGACATCATCCACGAAACTAATCTTCCCGGATGTAGCTCACCATCAAACCGAGTGCTGAGCTGACATCGCTCCTCCATCAGCGCACAGTAATTCAACATCTTCAACATTTGCTGCAGTCACCTGATGCTTGCAACATCAATCAGCACTGCCATGCTAGTACCTCAAAGCGAGTTCCTTTATCCTCGCTGTTCTCATTTGTTTGGGAAATCCCCTGTGAAGTGAATTCTGGTTTGCTCTCACGTACACTTGTGTTCCTCCCCGCATGGAAAATGAGAACTCCCCTCAGTTGGCATCTGTCTCCCCTCACTCAGAGTGCGCTTAACTCAT